AAAAAAAAAAAAAAAAAAAAAAAAAAAAAGAACAATTTTTTAGAGGGGTTGAAAGAAAATAAAGTCCAACATTTATAAAATTCCTTGACCTTACAGCTTGTTTTATAATATAATGTCTGTGAGAAGTCATGATTCCAGAAGCTTCCACACAGTCTAAACTTCAACACCAACCTATTTATGGTGCTCCGTGAGGCCCTCAGGCACTCTTACTCTTTTCTTTGACCCTTCTTCCCTCTACCAGATCAGGAGACAACCCAGGTGCTGCTGTGTGGGAAGGAAAATCTTCCTGGGGCTGCCGTGGGGCAGAGTTGGGAGAGCGGGCCTTCTAAATGCTCAGACCTGAGGTAAGCAGGGAAGAGCCTGCTCTCTGGACCTTGTTAACTTCTTCCTCTTGGGATGCTGGCACTTCCAGGCACCAGTTCCCATGGTAACAGTGACACATCCCCAGCGCAAGCACAGGTGCAGGCTTCTGAAGAAAGGAAAAAGGAAACCCTCTTTCTGTTCAAGTATAGGCCTTCAGATACCCTTATCTGTGGCAAAATTATTTTCCAGGCTGCAATGGTTACATTTATGGTCTAAACCTTAGTTTTATAGTAGATATTTGCCTCACTTAGACCTTTGGATATGTGGGGTTTTTCCCCTCACAGGAGACTGGTGTCCACAAAGGAAAGAATTTGAGGATTTGGGTACTGGCTTGGAGGGCTGTGCCTTGGTCAGCTTGTCTCTCACGTTCTTCCTGTCCACCTTCCTGCTTCTCACTGAACTTATTGGTGTCCTCCACTTAGTACTCTCTGCAGTGAGTTCTAGAACCCTCAGAGCCTGGTTGAAGGTCCATGTTAATCTAGTTAAAATCAGAAAATGGAAACCAAGTTGGGAATGCTTTCTCAGTGACAACAGAATGCTCCCATTTTCCTGACTGGAAATAACTTGAAGTCTGACAGAACAAGTAAAATTGGCTGGGGGCCTGCCCCTTAGCTCAGTTCTTTAGGTGGCTGCTTCAACAAAGCAGTCAGGCTCAGGTTGCCGTGGTTTGATCCCCACAACCCAAGCCAGCCAAACCTGCCCTGAAGGCATTCGGAGAAAAAAAAAGTCCTTAAAATTGGCTGACATTTTCTAACAGATTTTGTTCTTCAATCTCAAGAAAATGGCAAGAGGAAAGATTTTACTGTGAGTTGATGGACGAATTCACATGTGAGATTAATGCCACCCACCACCACACAACTGCAGCTGCCCACATCTACTCAGTGACCCGGGTCAGCTTTGCCATGGCTCACTCTTCTCCCTCTCTCCCACTTAAGTTGTCTGAATTCTACTTGGTAATTTTTCCTTACTTAAGAATGATTCTCAGGGCCAGACAGATGGCTCAGTGGAATAAGCACTTCCCTGGCAAGCTCAAGGGCCTGAGTTCAATTCCCGGTTCCACCAAAAAAGAGAGAGGAAACAAAAAAAAAAAAAAAAAAAAAAGAAAAAAAAAAAAAAAAAAAAAAAAAAGAATAATTCTCCATTTAAATGTCTATCTGTAAACAAACAATAAGAATTTTTGTACTACTTTTTTAAACTTCCTACTTGTCTACTTGAATGTATTAAAATGTCTCAAATGTATCAAGCCTAGGTTATGATGCCTTTGTGGCTCTAATTTGTATTTTCATTTTGCTTTTAAGCACATAGGACATTCTCTTCTTATACTGTATGATACAGGAAAACAATGTTTTTGTGGATGTTAGCCCTGCTGATCCTCTGTGCCTTTCTGTGGAACTGTAAAGGACGGCTGAAGGTTGTGGATATCAATGATAAGTACATTTTCATCACTGGATGTGACACGGGCTTTGGAAACCTGGCAGCCAGGACTTTTGATAAAAAAGGATTTCATGTCATTGCTGCCTGTCTGACTGAATCAGGATCCACAGCTTTGAAGGCACAAACCTCCCAGAGACTTCAGACAGTGCTTCTGGATGTAACTGACCCAAAGAATGTGAAGAGAACTGCCCAGTGGGTGAAGAACCACGTTGGGGAAAAAGGTGGGAGATGTAGGGGCAGGAAGGATGGCGGGATTGGGAAGTAACTAGAGCAAAGCAAAACGCATTTAGATTTTAAATAGCCTTTCAAGAAAATACCTACCAAATACCAGTGGCACTTCTCCACTCTCAGGAGAGTATTTTGGTACTTCCAAGGCGCAGCCAGTCACCCTGTGTACATGAGAGACTGTGCCCAATTATGCTGTCTTAAGTCCCAGAAAGTGAATTTAGAGCAGAGATGAAGGCACTGGCTTTCCCTGGTCTTCTCCTCGGCAGGGCTACTCCCGCTGCACATGAGGCAAAGGGAATTGGGGTTAAAATCTTCAGGAAAAGGTGGAAACCAAGTGGCCATCTGTATACTTCGAATATATATGGTACAAGGTCTTGCTACACAGTTCAGACTCCTAGTGATCCTCCTGTCTCAGCCTCCCAGCACTGGGATTACAGGTGTGCGCCACCATGCCTAGAGTTCCAGGGCTGGCATGGCATGCATTACAGGGATAGCACTCAGGTCCTCACACTTGCCAGGCAGGCACTTAGACTGCTGAGCCATCTCCCCAGCCCCACTTTGCACTATAAATTGGCTCCACAGCTCACACAATTTCAATGAAAATGTAAGAAAAGGCCACAAAATGTGAGCATCAGGGCTTGTCATAGTGGACTGGCGAGCCAGTGGACACCAAGACTGCAGTGGGTTCTGCAAAGACAGCTGCCTCTGAACCAACAGGTTTTTATTGGCTTTGGTTAAGGCTTGAAATACGCTCACAGACAAAGATACTGGCGTCCCCAAAGGGGAGGAAATGCACGTGTTTTTCTCAATTATATCTTTGTCGTAAATCTGAGACTCAGAAGCACAAATGCAATAATTTGATAAGCTCCAGACAGGGTTTAATGCTTTAATTCCAAACATCTTTAACAATATTAAATGTTTCCCCTCAGGGGAAAAAAAAGCCAAGTGAAAAATTGCATTGTTTACAAAAAAAAAAAAAAATACATATCACTCTTTGTCATACAGAACATTTTACAAATATTCTGCTGCTTTGCCATCTAAAAGGTAAAAATAATAGACTAATTTACATCTGAGAAGAAAAAGCCAAAAGTTTCACTCAGAAAATGCCAGCATTTGATATTTAGAACGAGAACTAGAAGAATGGTGGGTGTGAACTCGAGTAACAGAACTTCAGCAGTTTCAATCTAGTCTCTCTCCCTCTGCTATCAGTTTAGAAATTGCAAAGTATTTCAAAACAGGAATCTGAGGACAAGAAGACAATGGAAGCATTGTGGAGAGCGGGGGTTGGGGGCATGTAAGCAGTACCTTCTACCACCTTTTCTCTGTCCTAGGTCTCTGGGGCCTGATCAATAATGCAGGAATACCGGGCACACTCGCTCCCACAGACTGGCTGACAGTGGAGGACTACAGGGAACCTATTGAAGTGAACCTGTTTGGACTCATTGATGTGACATTAAATATGCTTCCCTTGGTCAAAAAAGCTCGAGGGAGGGTTATCAATGTCTCCAGCGTCGGAGGTCGGCTTGCAATTTGTGGAGGGGGCTACACTCCATCAAAGTATGCAGTGGAAGGATTCAATGACAGCTTAAGGTAAAGCAAATTAAGTAGCTTCAGAGATAACACTAACTGAATGCTTCATATGGACCAGCCACTCTATTTAGTACCTTAAATTATTGCTACTTTATAGATGATCAGTGAAACTAAGAGAGACTAAGAAACTCACACCCAAGTTCACCAAGGTAGAACTGAAATTTGAGCCCAAGTCTTTCTGTCTTTTTTACTTTCCCTTTAATGTATATGCTAATAGTGGTGATGAATTTTTAGTCCCTCAGTCAGTTTACAAATAAGGAAGCACATAGAGCGCCCAAGTCAGGGTATGTCTCTCTATTGTTCTTCCTGACAGCTGCAGACACATAACCATCTTATTTAATCCTTCAGTAGAAAATATCATTTCTCGATGAGCTGCTCAACATACTCTGTCCAGTCTTGGTAGCTGCATTGGATGGGAGAGGCAGGAAAGGTATACTTAATCCATGTTACATGGAATCAGAGCTTATTATTATAAATTCAAAACCCTAAATTGTAAATAGATATTTAAATCAAGGTTCTTGAAGGAAATGGTCGCATGTTAAAATTGGGCAATTAGAGTAAAGTTTATTTGAAGGACTACTTAAAGACATGGGGGAGGTGGGTACATAGGAAAATCCTAAAGCTTAATATCTAGGAGCTAATAACAACAGGGCATCTCCATCCTTGAGACTGAGAGGATAACAAGACAGGGAAGTTTCCAAACCTGGAGACGCAGTGGCTATTATTTTCCAGTGAGCAATGAAATAACCAGAGTTGGCATCCCAGGAGTAGGGACTAGCCTCCTTCTTCCCCTCTTGCCCCTGATCTCACACTGCCACTTCTAAGCTACTGTGCTATCCAAAGACAGAATATAGATAACGTGTCTACCTCTGGGATGTGGTCCTGGCCAAAGGGTGAAGAAAGGGAGTGCAGGAGCCAATGAAAGCTGCTCAGCCAAGAGGTGCTGTGATAGGCAATGCAGCCAGTGACCTACTCAATGAGTATTTGTTGAATCCACATATTAGAGCCTATGATCTATGCCATGCTTCTATGAGTAGTTTGCTGATAAAGGGTTAGGTTATTCTTCTAAAGTTGTTATATATCAACCAATTCTCTTTTGTCATATGATCAGACTAGCAAGTTAACTCTACTAGGGAAAAAAAATAATGGGGAAAAAAATTCTTCCAAAATATTAATGTAAATTGAAGGATCTTGTTAAAATCAGATTTGCGAGTCTGGGTGGGGCCTGAACATCTGCTTTTCCAACAATTCCCCAAGGAGATCATGTTAGGCAAGTCACACAGGCAGCGGCATACAGTCACAGTGAGTAACAAAGTCATGGAGAATTTCCATGAGTCTCCTTGGTTGATCTTTGGCTCCATTCTTAGTTACTTTTCTTGTTGCTAAGACAAAATAGCCAACATCCAAAGTTAAAGGAGGAATACCAAAATCCTGGTGGAGGGTTCAGGTCTTCCACCTAGCAATTTAGCACATGGATGCAAAACAAAGACAAAGAGAGAAAGTTCTGCAGTTGAAGAGTTCTGAGACAGCCAATGTTTTCTTTGGAACAAAAGTCCAAAAGCTCAAGGTTTTATTGGTTTCAATCAGGGAGGTAGGTGGGGGTTGCAGCAGTGTGCTAGGGAGAAGAAACTTTGCAGACATTGGCTGTAAGGAAACACAGAGCAATTTGGTAGCAGGCACAAAGCTTCCAATTAGCAATACAATGGATAGCCTGATGTATGCAAGGCTGGCATCTTTACCGCCAGGAAAGTGTAATTCTTTCTGAGTCCCGTGGCCTCAGCTAAGATGTTGTCTCATGTCTTAGCCCTGGAATCTCACTGGCGCTTGCTTGAGCTTCCATTGCCGCCATGGGGGTGGGGGGAGGCAATTCTCACCCACATGCTATAATGAGACAGGTTGGCATCTTGGCCAGTCTAGATCACATTCTTTTAGGCAATTAAGGTAGCATCTGCTTCTATATAGCCAGCTCTGCAGATTTCAGTGAATAGGGTTGAACTAAAGATGGAGGAAAGGGACTTCATTTCTCAGGAGAATGCAGCTGAGTGGCCTCCCACAGAGGAAAGATTTACTTAGTTCACAGAGTGTAGATGTTTCAGTTAATAACCCACTACCACCAAGGCAGGGTGGCACATGGCAGAGAGGCAACCAAGCAGATGACAGCAAAAGCAACAAGGAAGGAGAGAGACAAACCTCTTTTTGTTCCTTCGATTGTATCCAATCTGCCAGGATGAGCACAGTGCCTCTCCTACCAGTGAACTGACCCAGCAATCACCCACCCTTATTCCAAGCATCCTTAATCCTAGCATTGAACGATGAATCAGTCACACACTCTAAATTCGGTCAGCTCCAAAAAAAAGCCCTGCCTAAAACTGCATGAGGCTGGGGGGACATCTAGACACAAATCACAATTCTCTGAGCAGAAGTTATAATAAAATTTTAGTAGACTTAGAGATATACTCATTTAGTAAGCTAGTAAACTTAGAAATATATTCACAGGCCAGATAGCTCAGTGGACTAAAACACCTGCCTAGGCAGAGAGCAGGGACCAGGGTCCGATCCTCGGCCTGCTGTGCCAGCCCCTCCCCGGGACATGCTGAGACTTCAACTGAGACTGGGTGTAGTGGCATGCCCCTGTAATCCCAGCACTTGGGAGGCTGAAAACAGGAGGATCACTTTGAGTCTGATCTGTGTAGTGAGACCCTGTACTAACTGCATTAAAAAAGAAAGAAAGAAAGAAAGAAAGAAAGAAAGAAAGAAAGAAAGAAAGAGAAAAGAAATGTCTTCACTATAGTAGATTTAGGGATGTACTCACTTTTAGTAGATATAGAAACGCACTCACTTTGAAAGGTGTACAGAATCTGCAATGCAGTTATACTATGCCTAAAAGTAGTCAGCAAAGTGTGTTTATTTCTTTATGAACTGTGGAACTAGTATTGGGAGTGGTGGTGTCTTTAGGCCACGTTCTTGTGGCAGTGCTAGTAGGGTTTAGGGCAGCAATCCAACCTAGAGAGGATCAGGGCTCTGCGAAGCTGTACTTGCCCAGCAGCATCCTGGTCTCAGACTGTTTTTACTTGCACCCAAACATTGTTACTCACTGGCTTCAGAACTCATCAACCCCAGCACTATCATGCTTTGGCCAGAAAAAAATGGTTTAGTAGGAAGTGCCTGTGTCAGTCTCATGAAATCTCAGGAACAGGATAGAATCCCACACTTATCATTACTGTCTTGTATTTTTATGAATTTTAAGTGCTAATCATGGGCCACAAAAGGGTAAGAGGAGTATCACTAAGCCTAAAAGGCTTCTATTAGCCCAGTAAAATTTGACTACTACTAGCTCAGTAAAATGTGAAAGTTCTGGGAAACTTTCACAAATTATTCCTAATTATTGTATATTAATAATACACAATATTATTTCCTATGGGAAATATACATTTGTTACCCTTTGGTTTCAGCATTTGTCACAAGTTCTGGCACAAACTGATGACAGATACCTAGGTATGACAGTACCAGGTAAACTTAGTGCAGTGGCTTGTGCCTAGGTTATACGTTATTTTCATGAGTGGAGAGAGAAACAAGTCTTTCTGAAAGCTTTCTTGGAACTGGTATTTCCAAGATCCAACAAACTATACACTAGCTATATTGTAGAAAACAAAATCTAAAATAAATCATCCTTTAAGTTTACAAAATAAAGCTTGTTTTAAAAAGTCAGATTTCTATAAAATGGATGATTACTTTTTTATATGTTCCTGGTGAAAATAGACATTAAATTTAGGAAATCATTATTGATATAATTATGTAACTTTCCATACTTGTTTTTTCTACTTTAAAGAAATGGATGCCATGATTTCTCTAAAGCTTAGTGCATAGTAAGGGAACAGACTTCGGGTTTTCTGCAGTAGCACAATGAAAACATTTGCATAGGATCAGGCCAGGCACGCCCCACTGTGTCCTTCTGCTTATCTTCATTCACACTGCAGTTGCTTCAGCTCCCTAAAATGGAGCCAACTTATCATTCAGCCAGGCCTTGGTCCATTGCACCATAAGGCACTTCAGATACTGAAAAGATGGTGTTAACGCAAATGCTCATCAATTTAAAGAGGAGAACACAGCTTAATGGATGGACATGGAACTGGTGGTAGGGGACGTCCGCCCAGACCCTTTCCTGTGTGGCCATTGCCACCTTGATCTTCAGCTTCTTCATCTCTAATGATGGGGGAGAAGATGAAACTTCTTTCCTATGCACCCAATTCTGTAGTTCCATGAAAAGATAAGTGTTCAAATAGCAAGCCTTCTTCAAATTGGATTAAACATCAAAATATAAAAATAAAATAAGGGATAGGGATATAGTTCAATGGTATAATGCTTGCCTGACATGCACTGTGGTTAACCCCCTGCACTACAAAAAAAAAGAAAAAAAGTTTTAAAATAATATGAAAGCCACCTTACCTGTTCTTTTCACAGACGGGACATGAAAGCTTTTGGTGTGCACGTCTCATGCATTGAACCAGGACTGTTCAGAACACAATTGTCAGATCCAGAAAAGACAATCGAAAAAAAAATTGCCATTTGGAAGCATCTGTCTCCAGACATCAAGCAACAATATGGGGAAAGTTACATTGAAAAATGTGAGTTTCTGGGTCAACCCAACGTCCTCGGGGATTCACTGTCCTTAGCAGTATGAAAGAGACTGAAATAGATGAAAAAAACAAGGTTCCTAAAGTAACTCATCAGTCAGCATCTTATGGATGGATCAGGGATCCCTAGTAATTCTGTCGTCTCTTACTTTTCTGATTTTGTCAGTCTTTGCTGAGCATTTACCATGTGCCAAGTTCTATGCTAAGCACTTGTGAATTATATCATTTATTCTCCAAATGAACTATTTTGGAGAGTGAACAAAGGGAAGATGACCTAGCCGAGGTTAAACCAATTTTCCTGCTCATACCAGGATGGGAGATTCGGTAGGGCAGTGCGGGGCTCAAGGTCTTCATCTCTGCACTTAGTTCTTTGCATGAAATACCAGTCTCTCCTCAACACCACTCAAGGCTTTGTAGAGGTCACCAAAGATAGAGAACACTCGGACTCTGACATGATTCGGTTGACACCAAGAAGTAGCCAAGTGATACTGAGACACAGCGAGCCCACACTGCCCAAGGAAACGGACTCCTCTTAGAGACAACCCAACACCCGGAATGGTGCTAGATGGTGTGGCTTCTAACCGCCCTCAGGATTCATGCCAGGAAAAGAGCCTTGTTGGTTAAAAGATCTCCATAGGGCAACTCAGGTTTCAATAAGTCCTCAAAAACAGGAAGGAGGCCAGGCGTGGTGGCGCATACCTGTAATCCCAGCACTCAGAAGGCTAAGGCAGAAGGATCTTTGCAAGTTCATGACCAGTCTGGGCTACAAAATGAGCCCAAGGACAGTATAGTAAAATCCTTTCTCACAAAAAGAAAAAAAAAAAAGGAAAGAATTTTTTAAGGGAAAGATATCTGGGACAGGAACATATCCGGAGGAAAGGGAAGAAAAGTTAACCTAAGTCAAAAGACTAAGTCAGAATATAAAGATTATATAATGACGATTAATACTGTAAACGTGTATTAGGTACTTGTTACCATATTAAGTGCTTTATATGAATTCTTAATTTACAAGCCCCTCAAATATTCTATGAATCAAGGGCTATTATCTCTTTCATTTATAGAAATGGAGGCACAGAGAATTAACTTGCCTGAAATTACAAAACTAGCAAGGGGAAGAGCCAGATGCGAAAGCGCTCAGCCTGGCTCTGCCAGGCACTCTTGGACACTGCATTAGAGCAAGAACGAGGCCCTCAGTCACACCTTCTGTGTCAGGGCTCCTTCCAGCTCCAACTTCCAGGCCTGCTGGCATTTATGTGGTGTTCCTCACACACTAAGTTCCTGCATTAGGTGGAACAGGGCCCCACCACGCTGTGTCCCCTGTGCCCCCACACTGTGATCATGTGTCCTCCTCAGTGCCCTGGTAAGACTGCCCTCCATCGCCAGGGTCAAGGCCAGGAGCCTCGAGGTGGAGCTAGGAGTCAAGGCAGATGCACCTGGGAGGTTTGCCAAATGACGGACACCCCAACACCACCGTGCCTCACACATGCACGCGCGCTCACACACACACACACACACACACGTGGAATTAAAACCTCTCATTTGACAAACCTTCCTGCTGATGTCACCCTGTGGATTCAGAACCCATCCATCAGTGTTCTCTTTCTCACACTGACTCTGAGGATTTAAATTTAGGTTCATTAGGCACTTCACCCTTGAGACTTAGTACATCAGAAACAAAATCCCTCTTTTAAAAGAGCTTTCTCTTTGATGCTGATGGAGATACTTTTTAAATGCCTGTGCATGTACCACCAAATTCCATTTAAAGAAATTTTTAAATTTTTCATCATAACAGTACATATTTTGTGATATTTTAATACGTGTATAGAAATGTAATAATCAGATGAGGGTGTCTGATTTTTGATTCATCAAACATTTATCATTTCTTTGTGTTGAAAACATCCAAAATTCACTCATCTCAGAAATACCACAGCACATGGAGCCCAATTTTATTTTATTTTGTTTGTTTGTTTATTTATTTATTTATTTATTTAGTGGTACCAGAGATTAAACTCTGTACCTTGTGCTTGCCAGGCAGGTGATTATGCCATTGAGCTATATCCCCGGCCCGAGCCCTATTTTATATTGATGTAATATTTATTCTGACTTAGTCTTTTGACTTAGGTTAATTTTTCTTCTCTTTTCTCCAGATATGTTCCTGCCCCAGATATCTTTCCTTTAAAAAATTCTTTCCTTTTTTTTTTTTTTTTTCTTTTTGTGAGAAAGGATTTTATTATACTGTCCTTGGGCTCATTTTGTAGCCAGACTGGTCATGAAGTCTGGTCATAAAGATTACATAATGACGATTAATACTGTAAACGTGTGTTAGGTACTTGTTAAGTTTCTGTTAAGTTTTTCCAGTTCAGGACTTACAGATTAACCTTGAAGTTCCCAAAGTAGACCATAATTTAAAGTTATCTTTCTTCATTTCCCTGGTTATGGTAGTGTGGTGTAAAATAGCCACTAATACTTAAGTTTCTTTTGTTCTGTTTTATTTTCTTTTGTTTTATAAATTTGTGGGTAGTAGGATTTAATGTTGAAAGGAAGAGCTCAGATTGTACATTTTTCCTTGAAAGGGGAGCTCAGATACATTTTGGAAGCATACGAGAATCCTATGGTAGTTCTATTTTGAAATTTTGAGGAACTCCACTACCATTTTTTGTATTGGCTGTTTTAATTTGCATTCCTGCCAACAGTGTACAAGGGTTCCCTTCCTCCACATCCTCACCAGCATCTGTCATCTTTGATGTTTTTCCAATGCCCATTCTGACAAGTATGAGTTAACATTTATTTGTGGTCTACATTTCATTGACAATTAGTAATGTTGAACATTTTTTCATATATCTGTTGACCATTTATCATTCCTTTGAGAAATCTCAATTTAGATCTTTTCTACTAGTTTTCTAACAGTTTAAATAATACTATTTTCTTGTTATTGAATTGTGTTCCTTTTGTATCCTGGATATTTGCCCCTTATCAGATGTGTGATTTGCATAATACTTTTCCAGCTCTATAAGTGGTCTCTTCATTGTTTTAACTGATTCTTTTTTTGAGCAGAGGCACAGATGCTCCTTAGGTTGGTGGGTTATCAATCTGCTTTGACATTTGTCACCTGTGTGTTTGGGGCTTGTATCCAAAAAAGGATTGCTCAGACCAAGGTCAAGAACTTTTTACCCTATGTTTTCTTCTAGGTGTGTTACAGTTTTAGATCTTATGTTTAAGTCTTTATAAGTTGATTTTTTTTAATATGGCATGAGATAAGGGTCCAATTTCATTCCTCTGGGAGATGGATATCATTTTCCCAGCATCATTTATTCAGTAGACAAGGACTCCAGATATTACCAATCACTTGTAAAATACCTACCTTCTTGAAAAGGATCTCAGGGGCCAGCCAAAGAGCTCAGCAGAATAAAGCACCTGCAAGCAGGCACAGGGGTCAGGGGTTCGATCCCTGGGCCTGCTGTACCAGCCCCACCCCCAGGGTGCACTGAGAGGGCAATTAAGACTGGGTGGCAATTGAGACTGGGCGTAGTGGCGCGCACCTGTAACCCCAGCTCTTGGGAGGCTATAAACAAAAGGATCACTATGAGTCCAATCTAGTAGTGAGACCCTGAAGACTTCCCTAAAATAAAATTTAAAAAAAAATTAAAAGGAATTTAGTAGCTCTTTACTCCAATGTTTCCTTTGCCTGTGAACTGGGCTACTTTAAACTTTCTTTTTTCTTTTCTTTTTTTTTTTTTTCCTTTTTCTTCCATAATTTAATTGAGAAACAAATCGCAATGAAACAGTTGCAAACCAAATTTGTAGGACAGATTCAATAATTAACACATTACATACATACTTCCTAGTGGTTAATTGCTGTACAAGATGCGGACATGATATCCTATTTACAAACACCATTAGAACAAATCCCTCTATTCATTAAGAGAATGTAACTATATATCCAACCTAACCATTTTGAATACACAGATACAAAATGGACATTCATCTGTATCCCTTTTTTTTGTTGTTTGTTATTTGAATATTATAGGTATGTTAACTCAGCAAAATATTCTAAAAGAGTCCAGTAGTCCATAATAGTAGTGGGTCTTCCACTTCACTGGCAGTGTCAGAAATTGTTCAGCATAACAGCTCACCATAACAGCGTGGCTTTACTTCTTATACTTCGTTTTTATACTTTTCTGCTGCATGGTTAAGACCAAGGTAAAACAGGACATATGTAACAAGAGTTGTAGCTTTTGGGTCTGAAAAGGTCAGTGAAATCCCTTCAGGATAAACTTTCCAACTTAGTACATCCAGGGGTTCTTTTTTCACAGAGTCACAGAAGCAAGTGGCACATGAGTACACACCTACATCCACACTTGTGTACACGTGTGCTCATCCACCACACTTCCTACAAACATACTACCCCCTGAAATGAATTTGAAATCAAAACTATGGTTTCCTAGGACATAAGGTCTCACTGTGCAGCCTGGACTCATACTGATCCTCCTGTTTTCAGCCTCCCCAGTGCTAGGATTACAGGTGTGCCCCACCACATCCAGTCTCCATGGCTGGCTCAGAACGCCCGGGAGTGGGGCCAGAGGGCCAGGGCCCAGGGGTCCAGGAAGGCCAGCTCTGTATGTGATGCAGGGGATCAAACACAGGTCCCTGCGCTGGCCTAAGCAGGACCTTAGTCCGCGAGCTATCTCGCCGGCCCTCCTCCATTGCTTTAAATGCAACTCCTCAAAGTCTGGTCCTGATGATGGATCAGCAATCCCATCATCTAGAAGCTTGCAAGAAATGTAAATTCCTGGAACCCACCTCAACCCTACTGACTTGGAAACTGGATTTGAACCCAGAAATCAAGATTTTTAACAAGCCCTCTGGGACCTTCTGCTGCCCATCCGACACTGAGAACCTAAAAACAGCACATCACACCCTTCTCTGAGGAAAGACTAAAACCATCACAGTGCCTCCCAATTCTGACAACAAATTCAAAATAAACTTTCTCATATAATCCTGCCCTGTGCACTTTACCTTCCACTCTGCTTTTCCTCTTCTTCCAAAGAATCAATGTGCTTTGTTCTCATTTTGCAGATGTGGACAAACTTAAAAGCAACTCACGCTGCATGAACGTGGACCTCTCTCTTGTAGTGGAGTGTATGGACCACGCCCTAACAAGTTTCTTCCCAAAGGCTCGTTACACAGCTGGCAAAGATGCCAAAACTTTTTGGATACCTCTGTCTCATATGCCAGCAGTTCTGCAAGACTTTTTATTGTTGAAACACAGAGTAGAGCTGGCTAATCCCAAAGCCATGTGATTTCAGCTCATCACAAACACCCATCCCGGGCTATGAGATCCCTGGATTTCAAGGTCAGGTCTCCTTTGTGATCCTTTGTCCTATCTGGTCCAACATGGACTCACCTAAGTCATGCTTCTTTTAGTAGAAGAAGGAGCCTCACCCCAGCAGTGTTCTTCCAGGGTCCCTTCTCAGGCCTTCTTTCACAATAAGGACAGAGGTGGCCCATCACACAAGCCAGTGCTGCCCAATTTGAGACAATGTATGCTTGGAGGATGGAAGAAAAATTGGAAGGCTTCCTCATCCAAAAGGAACCCTTGCCTGCCTCAGGCTCATTGGGTAATCTAGAATGTTCAGCATTGTCTCTTATCAAAATATGGAGCCATAAGTAGAATGTTGGCTGGACTAAACATTTCTGTTTATGTTGGTGGATTAAACATTTCTGTTACATTGCTGAGAATAAGACTCTGAGGGCCTGCACCTAAGTTGTGACAAACTTCGGTAGGCAAAGGAAAATGAAGACAGATAAAACATCGTGTGACACCAGTGTAAGCCAAAGGGTGGCCCAATTCAACATTCCTTTCAGTCTTTTTGGAGTAGACATATTCCTTGTTTAACAACCTACCTGTCTGATGACTATTTAGACTTATGACCAAGACATACTGTACAGACTTACAACCCATTGCTCAGACTAATGACCTGTTTTTATTTGTAGACAGTTCTTTACATCTTCTTTATGGAGCCTCGATATCTTCTTTTGTATACAGTATACCTTGTTTCATAGTACTGCAATTCTTGTTGGTTAAACTGCATAGTACAATCCTATAGTTTTATTTTGTTATATATTACAGTATTGCATAAAGAAATGCAAATAAAAGCAAAGTCGTCAACTTGGAGTTTCCTTTGACCATTCGTTTGTTCTGAATATTGTAATGTATATGCTGTATACAATTCCTTATTCAGTGATCAATATGTTTAATGGCCAAGTCACAGGAACAGAGCTTAGTCATTAAATGAGGCAAGTCACTGTGGTTTTAAGAAGCCAGAGAAGTTATCTAGCACACATGTGCACTCTTGATATGTGTGCACACATATATCCTTAACTTACTGGGAATAAAATATTTAACAGCTGCTGCTGGAAACCACGGCCAGCTGGAGGTATCAGTAATTCTACGCATCTCATTCACCCTTATGGAAATATCTACATATGAGAGAATTTACTCCTCTTAAGTTTACAAGACACGGGGCTGGTGAGATGGCTCAGTGGTCTAAAGCACCTACTTAAAACAAGCTAAGCAAAGCGCAGGGACCACGGTTTAATCCCCAGCACCACATGCCAGCCAGCCCCGCTCCCTGGTGGGCTGAGCTGCCCCCCCCCAACATAAATATTAAAAATAAATAAAGAAAAATAATTTAAAAAAATAAACATTTAAAAAAAAAGTTTACAAGACATTGATAATTGAAAGATGCAATTACCTGAGATATCAGTCAACCTGGTCATGTACCTAATGATCTTGAAGGAAGACGAGCTCATCCTTTTTGAGTCAAAATTAAATGAAAAATATAGCAAGAATGGGATAGAAGAATTCTCAGGCACAGGGAGCCAACCTCTTCCTATCTACCAGGGCAGTCATTCCCACCTGCGTTTTAGCCCAGATAACTCACCTGTAGCCCTCAATTCTGCCGGTTGTAGTTACCCATGTCACAGCCTATCCATGGGGTTCTCTATGGTGCCTCCTTCTCACCTTGAATTTTCAATTCCTGGCTTCCTTTCACTGCTTAGAATTTATGACATGCTACTCCCTGACTTTTGAGACCACCTAGGGCTATCAAGGAGTTTAGAATATGAAGGACTCATGCCTGGTGTGGTGGCACATGCCTGTAATCCTAACATTCAGAAAGCTGACGCAAGAAAATCACCATAAGTTTAAGGACAGCCTCAGTTATATAATGAATTCATGGCCAGCCTCAACTACCCAGCAAGATCCTGTCTGAAAGAGGAAAAAAAAAAAAAACCTTTTTTAATGAGGCACATTTTTATTATAATGTATTTAAACTATGAGCAAGTAAGAATATAATATAAATTCCTATACATTTGAAAAGTAAGCAGTACACTTCTAAAATAGACAACAATGAGAACAGAACAGGAACTAAAACGAATACACAGCAGAATTGTGCTGCAGCTACAACAGGGCGGAGAGGGTGGTTTCGAATCTTTCGGACAGATGTCTGATGATATCAGAAAGTCCTGCACTCGGCCTGGTGGTGGGCATCTGTCCTCTGCGGATCTTGGGAAGGCAGGAATATTCTTGAGTCCATTTGAAGGCCCATTTACCAGAAGAGCAAGACCCTGCAGGGGCATCAGTCGAACCACAGTCTGGTAAAATAACCAGTCGTCCTATAAAGCCTGCGCAGAAACAGCTTCGCGTCTGCCTTCCGTCTCTCAATCTCTCTCAGTTGTCTTTCTAAATCCTTATGGAGCTTGTCAATGTAAAGCTGGTTCCTCCTCTCCTCCACCAAGTTGGCCATGACGGCTCTCCGCATGTTCATGGGGTCTCCAACTTTCAAAGGTACCCCCGATGGGGTAAAGCCCGTTTCACCCATCTTTGAACTTCGGCCAAGAGGGTCAGAGGTTTGCAACTTTTCATCCTTGGGAAGGCAGCATGGCTTCAAAATGTCGCCTCCCTTGCAGGTTCTGACTTTTAGAGGGTTCAGCTTCTTTTTGCGCTCCTTGCGGGGCATCTTTCCACTGGGTCTGAGCGAGTTCGAGACAGGTGTGTGAGCTGCCTGTGTCCCGGCACAGTGACTCTCCAGTGGTGAGGAGTACTAGGTGCACAGCACCATGGGGACAGCGGAATGTGAGAGCCAGTGATGTCACAGACGCTCCTCTCCTGAACCGTTACATTTACTGACCAGAAAAGGATGTTAACAGTTACTGTAGATTTCAGTGCCTACTCAGCTGGGTCCAAGGCAGAGCAGCACACAGCAGAAAGCAACTTCTCATGGCAGAGGCAAAGAGCAAGAGCTAAAAAAAGGCATCTTTGTGCTGAACTTCTCTACCATTCTATTCATGTTGTTCCGTCTACCCAAGTCTGTTATTTGCTTTGCTTTGCCTAGACCTGAGTTCTTCGCTTAGTCCTTTGAAAAGCTACAATTTGCTAACTCTTTGTTTTATTCAACCAAAAATTTCTTTCCTTAGAACATAGTATCATTCATAAATAAAATTAAATATATTCACCTAAGCAACTTAGAATAAGTGTTTATACAAAATGAGATGAGTGTTCTCACATAGAACACTTACACACAATTTACCAGATCCCCAAAGTAGTCTACGTAGATTTCTGTCTTTCCTTTTTTCTTTCTCCTCTTCCCCACCCTTTTTACTTCTGTGTTTTTATGGATTTTATTTATTTGTTGTCAGTTGTTTGGGGATGTTATTTGAAATCACCTTTTGCTCATCTCAGTAAAGACCTTAGATCAGGGCTGGTGAGATGGCTCAGTGGTCTAAAGCACCTATTTAGAACAAGCTTAGCAAAGCACAGGGACCGCGGTTCAATCCCCCAGCACCACATGCCAGCAAGCCCCGCCCCCTGGTGGGCTGAGCTGGCCACACACACACACATAAATAAAATAATTTAAAAAAAATTTTTTTAAAAAAGACCTTAGATCAACTGCTCTGACCCCAAGAACAATTCTTTGAATCTTTCACTTTTAAAATCAGACAAAAATCAACCACAAAAAGGATGAGGGTCCAACAAGTACTGCTTTTCCCTATGGCCGTGCTTTTTGTTCTTTATTTTTGTCAATAAAATTGGGGTGCACTATCCCAGCCACTGTGGCTAATGAACAGTATCCAAGTGGAATAGGGTCAGGGCTTCCCACCACGACCACACAGTGCATGCCAAGAAAATACTAGCACGTTACCAGACCTTCTAATTTGGCTAAAAGAGGTCATCTAGCCTCCCCTCTGTCTCCTGGAGACATTTCACTGGGAATGTTCCCAGTATGACAGGTTTCTGCTCCAATACCACTGAAGAATTGAAGGTCACCACCTCCTAATTACCTTGTCCATTAGCTCCAGTTACTAGAACATTTTTCATTCCTTTTGGACAAAAATCTAAAGGTGGGGGAGAAAGAAGAAAGGGCTGCCACTTCCGCTGCCATCATGATAATAATCAGTCACCTCCAGGAAACTCTAAAGTGATTCTGATGCCCCCAGAGTGCCATCCTCAGGGTTTGCACAGCAGGTACTTCTATTGTCCCATTTTACAAATGAGGAGCCTAATATCCAAGATGCTTTTGTCTCTAATGATATAAGCTTCCTAAAGTCCCTTGGTGAAATGCTAATTGAAAGGAAAGAAAAGAGGTAGAAAGAAAAGAAGTGAAAGGGGGAGGGAGGGAAATTAAACAATGGATATTGAAATCGAAAATGCTTCCTTCAAGTTATTTCTGGCCTCTGGAGCCATCCAAAATTAGAAACTTGAAGACTCTGAGTGGCGAAGACCTAAGCCAAGTTGGTGTTGGCCAGTGATCCTTACAAATCCTGGAGAGGAAGGATGGACAGGAACAGGTGGCATTTTCCCCTTCCCACCTGCTCTCTGCTCCTGTGGCAAATGCACTTTTTCTTCTGCCAAAGGGAAAAGGTAACTGTTTTCTGGCCAGAGAACCTTCTCAGTGCTCAGCCCTCATGTGCCCAACTGGCTACTCTTGCACTGTGAGAGCAAAAAGGAATGCGATCCGAGTCCTGTCCCCGAGGAAGCACTTTCATCACTGAGCTAGGCAGACACAGAAGGTGTGTTGACTCGCCAGGGGGATAGAGAAAAAGACAGGCACGTCTGTGAGTTCTAGCCATGGACTAAGATAAGACGCAGGCTCTTCTGCTTCCAAAGAGCAAGTGTGGGAGTTAGAACCATGATGCAGACACGACTGAGGTGTTTTATACAATAATCAGCTCAAAGCGAGTCAACCGAGTGATGTCATTTTGTGATGTAAATACCTTCTTCATCTTCCCAAGGAAAAAAGTAAATGATGCTTTGATCTTAGCTTAAGTTTTAGACTGACCACATATGGAGGAAGACTGATGGTCTTCCTCGCTGCGCCCCGTTGCTCAGACACTGGTAAAATCTTCAACCACTGGGAGCCCCTCACTTACACAGCCACAGACATTCTTTTGTGGCCCCAAGAAATCAAAGTTATCTGAAGCCCAGGGTAGGTGCAGAAGAGCTGAGGAAGCTGAAGCAGTAGGGAAAAAAAGACTGAAGGGAGATGGCACAG